TTATTTTATTTTATTTTATTATAATTATTACAAAAAATAAAATATTATTTTATAAATCGGCATATGCCGAATTATTGCCGAGTGGTATTATGCCGAATAATTGCCGAATAATACTATGCCGAATGTTGTATTCGAATGTTTGACGAGTGGCAGCATGCCGAATGGCACTATTTTGACTAGTGAAAAAAAATAAATTATTTTTTAAAGCATAGATATATTTTTTTCTTGATTGGATTATTATAATAAATATATATAAAAATTGTTCAGTTGGACTAATCCAACCATCCAGCTTTATAAAATATAAAAATTATCAAATAATTAAAAAAAAATAATATATAATATATGTCACTATATATTATTTATTCTATCACTATACTAATTATTAATAAAAATAATAATAAAAATATATATTATTAAATATTAAATATATCTAATGTTAAATTATTTTTATATTTTAATTCCTGTTCAATATTAAGTAAAACTCTAGCTAATTCTTCATCAAGTAATTTTTGAGATAATTCAGTTCAATAAGGTGATATATATTCAAGATGCAAAATATGAATAAAGTTATGAAAAAATAAATAGTTGATAGTTGAAATGGAATTCTATAGTAAACAAAAAACTTTACTAAAGCTTTATTTACTAATTTATTGTTTTAAAATTAATTGTTATAGGCCAATAAAAATATTAATTTTTTTTTCTTTACTAATATCAAGTTTTTATTTTTTTAATTGTTGTTTGTTGTTACTAATATTATCTTTGTTACTTATAAAATTTAAATAAATATTTTTTATTTCTTTAGATATTTTATGACAACTGATTGTCAAATATGTTTTTATTAAATTAGATTTGCCTATTTTTTGTATCCAGTTATAATATTTGCATTTGCATTCTTGATGTCTACTGTTTTTTAATCCAACTTGTTTAAAATATTATCATACTATCCTTTTTTTTGAATCTGGTTATGATTTTGAGCTGATTATATTTTCATTATTTGAAGGAGAACTCAAAAATAATATATTGGTTTCAAGATTGGAATCTGTTTTACTAAACATTTTGTAATATACAAAATCATAAAATCAATATTTATATAAAGCTATTTATATAATACATATTTTTTTTTTTTTTTAAAATAGATAAACATCATTTCTTTATTTATTTCGTACGTATTATGGCGTATATTTAGAAAAGAAACAATATCTCTTAGGTACAAATGCATACAGTAAGTTGAATGCTAGCTTGTCTACTCTTACGATGTTTAACTAGTATAGAAAAGAAATTTTAAACTATACTAATTGCTAAACAAAGGAAGTAGCGGCTATGCCTACCTACTCAGAAAAAAAGTTTTTACATTTTTAAAATTTGAGAAGAAAAAAAATAAAGTTAACTAAAACTGAAACTAATTCAAGTAAATTATACAATCTATGAAAATAAAAGTTGAATTTCCAAAAGAACACTTTGCCAGGCTCGTTGTCTCAGATCATCGGTTCTTTGCAACTTGTTAATACTCCTTTTCTTGACACGGATAGTAGAAAGTACTTGAAGTTGTTTACTGTAATAGTTGTTGTTATTATGGTGAGGATTGGATGGATAAATCAGTTTGAGCCGATTGTTGTTGTTGGATTGGTAAACCAGTTTAAACCGGTTTTATTATTATGGTTTGGATGATGTGATGAATTTTGATTGGGTGATTGCCAGACGTCGATCAATTGGAGAGGATAAACTAATTTCAGTTTTTGATGCCAAAAAAGATTGAGGATTTTTTTGAGTGGCAGTAAGTGACGCCAGAATAGAGAAATGTATGAAGGTTGTATTGAAACAAATATTAGAACCTACAACTTTGTTTGAGTGTGTTTTTTGAAAGATGTTTATAAATATAGTGATTATGATGGTATATATGAGGATGGTTTTTATGATAAAAAAGAAGTTTGGGTTGCAAGAAAACCAAAGAACCAAAGTATATCGCCACGGGCCTTTCCCTATGCAACTAAAGGATAAACAAGATTCCCAAACTTGAGTAGACTTTGACCAAAGGTTCCATCCCACTGCACCAGTTATCTTTAGTGTTCTTAGATTCTTGAGCTGGGGCTCACTTGTGATAAAGAGTGTAAAACATTTTTCTTTGATCAAAATTACCATATATAGAAATTTTAAGCAAAACGGATGCGATCAGGAGAGAGTTTTTTTTTTAATACATATTTTTTATATATTATGATTTCTTTTTTTTTTTATAGATGAATGTGCAACAATGCAAATCTTTATTGATACTTGCATAAATCGAATTACATTAAGTGTCCTTTTACAATTGAAAATTATATATTGTACTGATTATGTAGTCTATAATTGTAAATCAATACTGCCTAATACCATAACGTATCAGCTTACCATCCATCTTTTTGAACCCAACATGTGAACTGTATACTCAAGGTGTGGTATTTTACATATCGGGTGGGGTTCTATAGAAGGGAATGCTTACTACTAGTTTAAATCACCTAACCTATAATCCAGTTTCTAAGAGCTATGTCTATCCCTCAGTGGTTTGGTCATCGGATTTCTGGACACTACGATACTTTTTGTTTGGACCCTTAGAGGGGATACTTGCTCCTTGTCACCACCTGTGGCTTTGATAGATCTTTTTTGACAGGACTAGGGCTCTGAAAAGTATCGAACTGATATTAAAGTGGTATCGAAATGGTACCGATCTATAGTAAATTTAATATATGGGTTGTGACCCATTCATATAAATTTATAGTAAATTGAGTATCGAACTGATATCAAACTGATATCGAAGTGGTATTGTTAGGAGCCCTAGACAGGACCAACTTCTTTTAAGCAAGCATCGGATTGGGATAGCTTCAAACTAGAAAATCCTGGAATGGTCGAATTCGGCCTATTGGATATGACATACACAGGGGACCTGCACAACCTGTATATGAAGGGAGAACTTCTCAACGATCATCATGCACCAACTGGATGATCGTTACGCTGCGACACCTTAATGGGAAATACAATTTTAACACCTTACCGGATTGGTATATGAATGACTTTATATGAGAAACAGCACATGATTAATTATGGTGCCAGATACCATATTAATTCTATTTAACTACCTTCACCTGGAGTTGAACCGGTATCTTGTGATCTAACCTGTGGAGCACTAACCACTGTGCTATGGACCCACAGGTTATATATTATGATTTCTTATTTAATTAAGATTTCATATTTAATTATAATTTCATATTTAATTATGATTTTTAATTTAATTATGATTTTTAATTAATTATAATTTCTAATTAATATTGCTTTTCAATATTTTTTATCATATTCCTAATTATTAATATGATATTCTATTGGAATAGTTCCATCAAAAATATAAACATATATATAGTTAAACCAATTAATTTGACAGATATGAGATTTTATTTTGACTCAGAAAATGAAACAAATATTAAATTATAAAATATTGAATTTTATCCAATTAAATACAAATATATAATTTATATTTATAATATTTTTAACTGATTTATTTCATTTATATATAAAATATCAAATCGGTATAATTCTTGTAAATATTTAATTGTAATTTTACTAAACCATAAGTATAATATTTAAAATTACTAAAATTAGACTATAATTAGGCATAAAGCAATTTGTATCTAAATTTAATTTTTTTAAATTTTATTTTATTTTTTTTACAATTATTATATGTTAAATAATTGGCAAGTATTGGCAAATTAAATAAAAATAAATATTATTTTATAATTTGGCATATGCAGAATTGTTGCCAAGTGGTATTATACCGAATGGTTATATATTTGAATGTTTGACAAGTGGCAGCATTCCAAATGGCACTATTTTGACTAGTGCATATTATTTGATTACTATACTAGTTTGCTACTTCCAATAGTATTTTAATTTGCTGACTACTGCGCCATGTGATTAATTCATTTTTCTATCAATTTTTGACAAGCCGTGTCCAGATATTTGGCGTTTCGGGAAATAAATTTAACCGGATGTTGATCCCGCTTCTGTCAAGCACGTGAATCAGTGTTATGATACTCTGCGGAAATCTGTGTTACCTACCGCGTATAAAATCTGTTATCTACCGCGTATAAAATCTGTGTTACCTACCGCGTATAAAAAATTCTTTGTTTTGCTAAATTACGTTTTGAATATTATTTAGCTAGGTAAGTTGGGTAGCTATTTTCTTCTCTTTATAAGCCATAGCTTTTGTTAGCAAGAAGGAAGCGTCTGCGACAGAGAGAGACTGTCGGAAGCCAGCAATGGCAAGTCGTCGTAACAGTTGATGGCCGGCTGACTTTTTCGCTTGGAGTTATTGGAGGGTTGTTTAGCAAATAAGGCGTCTGCGACAGAGAGAGACTGTCGGAAGCCAGCAATGGCAAGTCGTCGTAACAGTTGATGGCCGGCCTTATCTGAAGAACAACTGCTTTTGATTTTTATCTCATTTGCTTAGATCAACAATATACTAAAAATTTTTTTCTATTTTTGAGCTGATAATGGGAAAATCAAAATCCTCACGCAACATAAAAAAAATAACCCTGCAAGAACGCCACGTCGACTGGATGCTAGCTTGTCCTGATCCAACTCCACTTGCATTTTTTCAATTTATATTTCCATCTCACCGAGTTAACGCATCTAAAAAGTATAAGAAGGCGCTCGACCTTGCTTTTAAGGAAGCCGTTGATGAGGATTTCCGTAATAAGATCGAAGAAATGAAAAAATCAGCCAATGTACGTAATTGAATGAAGTGTCAATTTCTTATATCTAACTCTGTGCTCTCTTTTGTGACAGGAAGCAAGAATTTTAGAAGATTGGGAAACATGGATGCAACAAAAAACAGCGGTATATCCAGTTATTGACTCTTAGATGGTTTGATTTAATATTGACAAATCCATATATAGATTTTAGTTCGTCGTGGTGTACGTAATACCAATCTTAGTCTTCATGAGGAGATAAACACGTTGTCATTAAATAAGGTAAATTAGTCATATTTCTCAAACAAATTAAAAGGCTTTCAATGAGTATGCTTAAAAAGGTTGGGTAATTTTTTATTACAGGAGGGGTCATCGGCAAAAAACATGAAATCTGATTCAGATTCGGACACGAGTGAACATCTGGAGGAAGAAGATCAGGAAGAAGAGGAGTCTGCAGATGAGATCGACAAATTCTTTATGAACAAGGGAAATAATGAAAAGATTCGTAACGATATTACCAGCAATGATATTGGTAATATTAACTTCGTGGAACGTATAGAAGAATCCAAGCTAATGTCATCAACCTGTCAACGTCCGTGGGTCCTCCGTAGTGGTACAAATGTAGGAGATAAATTGGCAAGTTACGTCAAGACGATTCCTGAGACCCAAAAATGTTTGAAGTAGGTTATTTATAGATAATATAGACGTTAGTGATGATTTTTTTAATTATGAATTTTTTTCACTTATAGCCTCGCATATTGGAATATACTTGATTTGACCGAGAATACCCAAATAAAATCTCTTTTCTCGACGAATGACTGGGAAGAAATGGTTGAAAGTTTCAATAATGAAGTTAAATTGATCGAATCGGATTTTCTTGATGTGGTGGAGTATTTTTTCGATGAAGTTGAAAAAGTAAGTTGAGAGAAAATATTTGTCTTGTTTCAACAATTTAAAAAAATGTTGCAGACTCGAACAATTAGATTACAAAAAAAGATGATAAAGATATCATCAACGCGATCGATGGATTAACCCCAGAAATTATTGAAACGAATCGAAAAGTAGAGCTTAGCGATGAGGAAAAAAATGTTATTTCCATTTTAAGACGGGCTGTTGTCACGTAGTGAGTGAAGTAAAATATAATTATCAAAAACTTTATTTTGTTTTCCTTACAGTCAATTCTTACACATAGTGCTGAAAATTTGGAAAGAGTTGATCTTCCCGTTTCCGAGGCTGACTTCGACAACGCATTTCCCAACATGCTTGCCAAAAGATTCTTAAATAGGGAGGAACTAAAGATGGATGTGTAAGTATAGATAGGCAACATGACCAGTCTGATTTCATGTAATCAAATTCTATCTTACATAATCTTTTATAGTGGAGAAATTGCATGTTGGGCGTCAGCTTATCGCCGAAATGAAGGTCGTTCCGTTGTTTTCAGAGCTCGCATTGGACAAAAGTGCGACTTTCGAGGAACTTTGAAAAAGAGTATCAACAAGTTTGAGGCTCTTATAGGTCTCAGAAGTGGTGGACTCCCAGAGCCTCATAAAAAAAAAATTTACGAAGACAAAGTTGATCTAAGCGTGGCAATGCGGGATATCTTATATACGTTCTTTAGAGAGAATTCTAAAGCACCTAGCTCTGACATTCATTCCACATTTGTCCTTGGAATACACTCGTGGGGTAGTTATGCAGGAGAAACGATTGTAGTAATGAAATTGCATCAACTAACGATTTTTCTTTGCTTTTGCTAAGGATGGATTCATGATATATATGGAATGGACTGTAAAGCGACAAATATACTACGACTTGGTTGTATTTCTCATTCAAAGATGCCCAACACCCTAAAAACGCTCTCAGTACTCGAAAGTTTCTATGTACTTTTTACGGATCTGCAGGTATTATATGTTTATCATTACTATATTTGATAATATTTAGGTTTGGAATTTTACTATTATGATCACTCAATTTCAGACCACGTTGAATACTATTTGTGAACACACAAATAGTGTCTCGCTTGCACATTCACGTGCACACAGAAATCGAAAAAGGAAGAATCCGGAACAAGCTGGTGAGAAAGGAGGATCATTCGGAAATCCTTCACAAAGCCCAGCAAAGAAGGATAGAAAATATGAAGATCATTAAGCATGGATTATGTAGATTCTTAGATTAAAAAGTCAATCATTCCTGGATTGTAATTATTTTTGTATAATTTGTATTAAACTAAAATTTTAGAAGGCAAGCACCAAATTTTATACCTCGAACTATTTCGCCGTATACAACTGCATCCAGCGGAAACGTGTGCCCAGTACTTTTATATTGTGATGTGTGTCGGAATAATAAAACTTTTTACTACTTGTTGGAAGTATATTTTTTGTTATATTCGGAACATGAGAAAATAATCGTATAATAAAGTATTAGGTTTACTTAATAAGACCCAATTCTCGAAGATGTTCAGGAGTAACTATATATGGATCTTCGTAATACCAGAATTCGTGATATTTTTCGTGTTGTATGCCTTGTACTTCGATTGCAAAGCCATATTGCGGATAAAATATATCAAGTTCTAGTCCATTTGGATATTCTCGTGTCTTTAAGAAATCGAGTCTGCGGATTGGTGAAGGGGCACCAAGATACTTCGTTAAAATCTCATGACAGCTTTTCTTATATTTTGGGCAGAATGGACACCAAGTTCCTTGTTGAATACTATTAGGAATAGCTTTCCATTGATGTTTGTTCTCACAAATTCATTCTAGCTTGGTACGTGAGTTATATATAGTATTGATCTGAAAGGCAATCTCCATTTTTACTTGTGCGAGTTTACGCATATCCTCAATTGTTTGATAACGACCAATGCAACATGGACACCATTGTTTTCTATTTTTAATGTGGTAAAGTGTATTTTGCCATTGATGGTTAAATTGGTAACGCCATGTTAGCGGTTCGTCTATATTTTTATATTCAATCGAAAGGCATTCCCCACTCCTAGATAGTGCAATTTTCTTTGCATCCTCAAGTGTTAGTTTTGCAATACCCGCCAATATCGGCACCATGAACCAGAATTTTTAATGTTATGAAACGGACTGTTCCAAATATGACCTTGATGGCATTTCCACGTCATTGGAATTTTAGAATTACTATATGCAGTTGAAAGACATTTACCATTCGGCTAAGCGCGATTTGCTTAGCATCCAGACGGGTATTTCCTGCACAATGTGGACACCATTTGTCATGATTATCTTTATATTCAGTTGAAAGACACATTCCATCACGCTCTTTAGCAATCATACATGCATCATTTAATGATAGCTTTTCATTGTTTTTCAGTCGTAATTGAATCTCTTTTCGTAAATCTAATGGAGTATCGAATATTAATCTAATTGCAAGAGGATCATTCTCGGGTTTATCTAGGTAAAACACAACAAATTCTCCCTTTCGTAAATAGCTGTTAATAACCATTGATGCATCTTTTACATCATTAGTATAACGTTTAATAATTTTTGAAATATCTTCATATGAGCTACCTGAGTTAAATATCACTAGATGGGAGATATTTTCACGAATAATTATTGGGACATGATAATATTTTTGCGTTACATACAGTATATTGGACTTACTGTATATTACGATGTCGCCCATGTGTGAAAAATGGGATTATTCGATTTGGTATTGACTCTAGAGCAACACATAAATCCTCAAAAATAATTTCAGTACTTCTCTCAGGTGAAAATGATTTTACACTAGGAATTTTTTCCAGTGATTTGTATCTGAATCTAATATTTTCATAATAAGGTGCTTTAGGATTACTTGCAATCATTCCACACAAGTATCTAACGAATGCCCATTTTGGCTCGTCAGGATGGTAACCACAAACTATCAAATCATCACATCGAATATACCTGGATCCTTCCTTTTGTCTTTTATATATATGTTTACCTTTATCTCCAGAAACAAAGTTTGTTAGTATATTAGTCTTACCCATGCCACTCTTCCCAGTGACTACTTTACTAAAAGGCCATGACATTGCTGGATGTCCAACATTTCGGGATGATTTGTGCTTTGTGACCTCATCCATATCCATAAGGAAAAGTTTCATAGGTGGAGGTTCTTTCTTTTGGTTCTTTTGCATGGCGGATTGGGAATCCATAACTATGATTTCTATAGATTGGATAAAAAATTTCTTCCCCCCATAATTCACTTCACTTTGTTTGTTCATAGTTGGTTTATATATTCCAGAAAACAAATTGCCGGAGGTGGTCATACGGTGGCTATAATTTGGCTTCGAGTTCAAAGAACGAGGTGGGATTGGACGAAAAATTTTCTTTTATATATCATATAATTAATATTCTACCAAGGCAAAAATAGCGAACTTAATAATAGGAGAAGTTTGATATTATTATTAATCATACCTGTACCTAATGCTACAATAGGTAATTCTTTATTCCTTCTTTTGTGATATTATAAATCTGAGGATGAGATTTAGCATAAGCTAGTACATTTGTGCTAATCGGTATCATATTCTTTTTTATTTCTGGGGTTTGATACTTTGTATCATCTATATCATCATGAGCCAGCATAAGAGTACTTACTTTTGAAGATTTATGTGTAAAAATATTTTCATCTTTCTTTCTACGTACAAAATATTGGGCAAGATTATTATTATTGCAAAGCAATGGTTTTTCAAAACTATCAAAATTCTATATGGAACTTTGTTTCTCACTCTGCGTATTTTTTTCATCACCTTCAGTAATTGCAGATCTTGGCCGTGCCAGCTCTGCTGATATATTATCTGATTTCTGCGAAGCAGGATTTAGGCTCGAAGAGCCATTTATTTGAAATAAACACCTAATCATTCAAGCTCATCGATATTTGGCGTGAGCATGCTTTCAGCTAAAGTCAATTTACTCTTTATATACTTCAATTCAGCTTTAAGGGATATGATCTCAGAATCTTTTTTAATGAATCTTTCTGTATCGAAAATGCGTCTTTTTGGGCTGATGCCAACTTACTCTCCAATATCTTAATCATAGCCTGGTGTGATTTTATTTCTTTTAATTGTATATCATACTTGTCTTTATACTCATTATGGGAAATCTGTGATTGGGTAATCTGGGATGTAAGGTTAGTAGTGTCTACTTTCAATCATTTAACTTCATTAATAAGTTGATAACTATGCTTAAAAAGTTTCTCTTTATCTTTATTGAATTGTTTTAGATCACGTTGTATATGCTTATTGTCTTTATCTAAGACAAAACATTTATTGGCAAGTTAATTATCACACTAGCAATTTCTTGATCTTGATTTGCACAAACAAGCTGATTTTTAAGTTCTGTTCGGTTAGATTGATATCGATCATATGGCATATCTCCAAGTTTTTTGCTTTCACCTATATCTGATATTGTATAAATCTGAGATATATTACTCAATTCTTATAGATGTCTAAAAAAATGAATATATTTGTATTTTGAATACGATATATTATATAGAATATATCTAAATAGTTATAAAAATATACTAGATAGAATATATATATTAGATAGAATATCTGTATTAAATGAGATATACTATATGTATTAGTTATGATATATTAGATCGAATATACATAACTATTATATAGAAAAAATAAATAATATTTTGTATATTCTATTTTTCAATATATTGGTTTATTTCGATATATTTTATATTTTGTTAGATATAAACATCTTGTATTTACATTTATTACTATGCCTAGAGTATACATACAGTCTGATACACCTCTATTTTCATTTGAAAATTATTTATATATTATACAATGTCATGATATAAAACCAAGATATAAAATTTTAAATGAGTTGATAAGTAAGTATAAAATATCGACAAAACATATTTATCAAATATGGAGGAGAAAAATCTAATAGAGTTCTTTGGAATCAACCTATACCTTATAAAATAATAATGATGACTTTAATTATGATAACAATATATCAAATTCTATTGGAAATATATTTGATATAAAATCACAAATTTTAGATAGTATTAGTATATAATTTGTATATTTTAATATAAATATTTATAAACTTTTCTGTATTGCAAATTAAGCTTTGTTATGATACACTATCACTAATGTATTAGCTTATGTATTAGTTGACTGCATGACATGTTACAAGTTAGGATAAATGCATCAGTCCTACTATAAATAGTAATAAATTGCTAGCATTAGAATAAAAAGATAATAATATAATAAAACAATATAACAAA